TAAGGTGATTGGACACTGGAAAAAGCTTTGCTGGGAACCGTTCCCCAGTCTACCTATTTTACCCCACCCACTTCATGAGACTCCAGTTACAAGACGAATAATGTTTTACATGCCTTCAAGGTAGGACATATGGGAGGAAAATGACATTCCTCCAGAACGTGATAAAAAAGAGCACCAGGAAAACAAGAAGTACTGACTACCAGAGCACTTTACCCCCATGTGATGTAGGAAAAGAGGAGGACCCTCAAGAAGAACACAGGAGGCCAAGACAGAACTAAGACTGTTAGTTTTAATGGAGGGAAGAAGGTTCTGTTCTTACAGAGGTAATTATAAGATAACCCCATTGAGCACAAAGGGATGGCTCTGGGCAAGACCACATAAGGAAGGCCCCAAGTGTTTATTCCAAACAAAAGGAGTTTCAGTATGCAAAATGGGAACAATATCTAGGATGAGGTTCCCTATCATCACACTAGATAAGAACTACCTCACATAATAGATTACAGAGCATGGGGGAAGAGATCTGCATGCCCTCAAGAAAGAGGGGCACCAAACATGGTGAATATTAAAGAGCTGGGTTGCTCTGGGATCTCTGGGCAAGAATCTGTACAGCAGTCACATAATTGAAGATGATTAGTGAGATGGGCAGACAAGTACCAAGGTACCTACAGACTTAATTTGGAGTGGAAACAAACACATACAGGGGATACTAAGAAGAGGGGCAATGCCACCTTTTCCAGTACTTTGTTGACAAAAGAAGGAAGCGCATAAAATGGGTAGCTTGGTGATCCTTGACCCTGGTACAGTGAGGGAGGTCATCTCAAAACTCAGGGTAGAGTCTGAGGGTCAAAGATTAGGGAAGCCTGCATAGTAAAAAGGAAGTCCCTGTAATGGCGCTAACATCTGTACATAATGAGAAGTAGGGATTCAGTGACTTAGAGTTGAGAAACTGGCCCTTGGCTGTCCAGAAGGAGAAACTGTGGGAAATTCTCATGGAGATGCAATCGAAGGGTGTCAATGGCAGCATGTTCCTGAATATGCAGTCAGTGGTAAACAAAGTGCCATGCTGAACTAGATGTAATTATAATGATGTGAGGATTAGATTCATGCATCCTGAATAGAACAAGGATGAGGGAAGGCGCCCAAGAAAGACGCAGTATCAACCGAACAAAGAAGGAATAGCAACAGTGCTCATGATCAGAGATTTGAACAAAGCACCATCCACATCTTCTACATCCAAATGCATAACAGCAGCTGACACTAGAGGGAGAGTAGGGACAGACTTTGGGGGGGGGAGAGATTGAGTGGAATTGTTGTGGCCCCTGTGGGCCGAGGACTGCAACAATCCTGAAAGCTCACCCATAAACTTTGACATAGGAAAAGAAAATTTCTCCTCTGACATACAAGAGGAATACGCACCACAGAAATGATTAAGAAGGCCCCTTAGTTGTCAACAGGACTACCTCTCTTTTGCTTATGGTCTGCCATGGTATAAGTGTGAGTGGTCTTTCCAAGGGGTTAACACTGCAGAGCAGGAAGAGTATGTGACTGTCACTAAAAGCAGGAGGAAGTCCAGAAGAAACATCCCACAGGATTGCAGGTGTGGGTGGTGAGAAGGCAGTGTGCCCGACCCGGAAGGAAGTTTCACAGGCTCAGTGAAGGTACCTGGGCAGAAGTCTGGTAAACTAAAAAGGTGCCAGATGCAAAATGGAAAACAATCCTCTCCTACCATGCCGATTGCAACTGAATATGTGGCAGCTGGCGTCCCGTCACTATACTCCTAAGGAAACCAGAGCAACACACCTGAGACCCAATATAAAGAGCAAGGACCCTTACTAACTACAGCTGTTTTCCATCCTGTGGCTATCCTCAGGAAGATAGGCATTGTGTTAGGGACAAGCCCTATTTAATGGTCTTACATAATGAAACTCCCTAAGGAGTCTTCAGCGACTGAGTTCCACCAGATGGGTGTACCTTGGCCCTGAAAATAAAATGCATAAGTGCTCAACCCCTCTTGTCCATGTTCCTGTAGGAATCATTGGTGCATAAGAAGGCTTCCATATATCATTAAAGAATATATGTAGTAAATCTCCTGCACAGTCATGAGTTCAAATGTTTACTCATATAAACATGAGACTAGCTTACTGTATTGCTCCACATGCCTAGGTGAACAACAAATGTGTGATCCAGTGCTCATAGGAAGACAATACAGCCTGGTCCCACATCTTCAACTTGACCTGGTTCATGTACAAACCCCTATGGCAAAGCTGAAGAGTAACCAAACCAGAAGTTTCAGAAGGAGCCCCAGTGGCTCTGCAGCACCTGATGGAACTTATTAGAATTAAAAATTGTCTTCATAAAAAAGGTTAAAAAGGTTTTGTTTCTCTCACTGCAGAGAGAAAATTACCATTCTCCTAGGAACACTAGCAAAAAACTGAGACATGGTGGGAGTGGGAGGGGTTATACTGGGCTGTGCTTACAGCTTTGCTTGGCCATTGTCCAGTTCTCTGGAAGCTGGCAGTACAACCACCAGGGCGCAGCTCTAGGGGACCATACCTAAACCCAGTAAGGTGGAAGATTGGGGCCACGCTGTAATGTCACCCTGTGGGCACTGGATCCTACGTTTGGTGCTGTGTATGTAAAGATGATGTCTTTACGATGAAGCCCAATTGGGTGAAAAACATCAGAGAGGTGTGGCTGTGGGCAGAAACTGTCAGATAACAGACCTAGAAAAAGGAGTAACATAATCTATGCACAGCTATTTGTGTATAGACAATGCAGCGCAATAGAGCAAGGGTGGGATTTTATGGCCTGCAGCTGTTGAATCCCAGACCAGAGAGGAAGAGCAGAGTCTGGAGTGGCACTTGACATAGTGCAGACCTATGTATGTCTTTCAAAATACTATTACGTTTCCCATAATGTACAACTAAGAAAATAGCTTTATTACTTCTACTAGAGTGCTGGCCATTCTTTGCACTGAAGTCGATGATGAATTACCACTGGCCCTACCATTGTTGAAGTTAGAGGTGCAAGTGATAGACCCTGTTTGCAGTTTGTAAGTGATTAGGAAGTGCAGCGCAAACATTGCATGCACAGAGCACGGAGGTGTGCATTGAGCTGTTCAGTCAAGCATCCTCTTTCACACCTGGTGGTTGGCTTTAAAAAAAATGTTTGTTCAGGTGCTCTCTATTGTATTCCAGGTACTTCATATGAAGTAAGGCTTTGTTTAGATGTGTACTTCAGAACTGCATGTGGCCACACATTTATGAATGTATGATTCTTTAAATTCTTGTGTTTTCTGTAGGTGTGAAAGTCAGATGTCCACAAACATTTGGCCAAATAATGTATATGTATTTCAACAATGCATTTACCTGTTTTAGAGTTCAGCATTAATATATCTTATTTTTTTTTAGTTTGTTTGAAGCTGCTGGGATAAATGATAGTAGAGAGTGCTGGGCCAGATCAGTCAGGGTGTAAGAATGAAACAGTCCAAATCAACATAATCTTGTGTTTAGATTTTACAGCATTTATTTCATCTTAGTTTTTATCCTTTAGCTCAAACAGAATGAGAACTGGTGAAAAGAATTCACTTTTAAAGTACAGTAAGTATTTCCTCTTGTTTCCACATTGATACCATATTCAGTATGTCATACTTACAACTTGGTTAGATTTGACTTTATACATGGGACTCTGGAGCCTAGAGAATAAGAGACCCTGGGAACTTCCAAGGCCTAATCCTGGAAGACAAAATGGCTGGTGATGCTCAAAAGGCAAGAGGGCCCTGATACAAACAGATTACATCACACGATCACCAGGAGAGAAGGGGACTGCACCGGTACCTCATTATTCTTTCCAGGAGGTTGGGAACATTGAGCGCCATGTGCTCGAACAGGGGCAGCATCCTCTTTGGCTCTGACAAAAAAAAATTCTTGCTGCCAGAGAGGGATGGAGCGAACAAATGAGGGGCCTCGCTGGCAGCAAAATGTTGGCTACCCAATACCGACACTCTAAAAAATCTAGACAACATTTATAGTCTCGGTTCAGAATCTTCCCATTTAAAACATTGCCTGTCACTGACATTTTTTTTTTAAAAAACATTTTTCTTTTTTTTAGCGAAACTCTGAAAAATAACCTATTCAGTGGAAAACAGAATGTAAAATAAAAAAGAGGCAACAAACAAAGCTACAAAGAATCACGGTACGAAGATAGGCAGGTGCATCAGAGCATCATCCCGTTCCCGCGAAAAGGGAAAGGAGAGGGGAAAAAGGTGAGCAGAGAGGGGGAGAAAAAAAAAGAGAACACTCACGCTCACATACACACTCACAATCGCACATTGCTTAATGCACATTGGACACTGACAACCACGCATACAGCAAAGAGTATGTGGAGCCGAATCCACCCTAAACCTACCTTTGTGCTCCATTAAGTGGCACATAAGGAGGTTTCTAAGAAGCAATAACACAGGTATTGCTCTTTATCTCTGCTTTCTATAAAGAAAATAAAATATCCTAAAAAAACTTCATAGGGTTCATTGCACCTTTGCACCACTACAAAAAGTGAGCTGTTATATTGACAACCACCATAGGCACACTACAGTGCTGCTGTGGCCAGCATGTATTTGTAGAAGCCGTGGAAAGTTTGCAGACTTAGCAGCCTAGAGATAGAGAGGTTTCCTGCGGGGGATAATCCCGCCCTGCCCTTCTCAGCGTCTCTGTAACACTGTTTTGGGAGGTGCCGCTCTTCATGAGGCCAGAGGGAAACTGCAGCTGTGCCTAGTATAACAAATATAAGGAGAGTTTTGAAGCACGGTCCTTGTTGAAGAGTTGCTGCAGATGGCACAGGCTGGCCCCAAGGCATCCTGTTACCTAGAGTTCCAAGCTGGCTGTTCCTTATAGAAGCCTGCAGGTTGTGTTTGTGCAGACAGTAACAGCATGGCCAATGCGTTGGTATGGTTGGAGGTAACCGAAGACTGCAGGAGATCAGAGTGCAGAAAAGCCGCCAGTTCAGGCCTTGAGTTGGTGCCATTGTGCTACAGCTGTTCTTGGATGGGAAATCATATCTTTCCAGTGTTTCACCTCTCCAGGACCACTCTTCCAAGATAGGTAGATCTGCAAAGAAGGTACAGTCAGTAAGAAGAGAAAAAGAGCTCATTCATACCTATTAAGAAGAACCATCAACAATTTTGAGTTACTATGCTAGCAGCTGGCTGGACACAATAGGATTGATGAAACCTGCCAACTAATTCAAGATATAGGAGAACTTTACACTGGGGTTGATTTACTAAAACTGGAGAATGCAAAATCTGGTGCAGCTCTGCATGGTAGCCAATCAGCCTCTAACTTCACCTTGTTCAATTAAGCTTTGACAAAAAAATGGCAACTGACTGATTTCTGTGCAGTGCTGCAACAGGTTGTGCACCTTCCTTTTTTAGTAAATCAACCCCAATGTGAAGCTCTGCTATATCATGAGGTAGTGGCAGATAACAATTAGATCTTCAGATGTTGTGGAATTAAAGGCTGCAGAATGCCTCATGAGCCAAATATGTTTAGATTAGATTAGCAAAGTAGCTGGCAAGGCAAAGTGGGACGTGTAGTTCCACACAGCTGGATATCTACTAGCTTCCTATCAAAGCCACAAGTTAACAAACTGTATGCAGAACAAAAGAAAAGCTAAAACCCACTGTTGTGTCCTTCTGCCATATCTTTACATCATTCATTCACATCTGTCTATAATATATACGTCAAACTCTACAAATTAGAATAGCGTGCAAAAGTTAATTTATTTCAGTAATGCAACTTAAAAAGTGAAACTAATATATGAGATAGACTCATTACATGCAAAGCAAGATAGTTCAAGCCGTGATTTGTCATAATTGTGATGATTATGGCTTACAGCTCATGAAAACCCCAAATCCACAATCTCAGAAAATTAGAATATTGTGAAAAGGTGCAATATTCTAGGCTCAAAGTGTTCCACTCTAATCAGCTAATTAAGCCATAACGCCTGCAAAGGGTTCCTGAGCCTTTAAATGGTCTCTCAGTCTGGTTCAGTAGGAATCACAATCATGGGAAAGACTGCTGACCTGATAGTTGTGCAGAAAAACATCATTGACACCCTCCATAAGGAGGGAAAGCCTCAAAAGGTAATTGCAAAAGAAGTTGGATGTTCCCAAAGTGCTGTATCAAAAGCACTTTAATAGAAAGTGATGTGAAAGGGAAAAGTGTGGAAGAAAAAGTTGCACAAGCAGCAGGGATGACCACAGCCTGGAGGGATTGTCAGGAAAAGGCCATTCAAAAGTGTTGGGGACTTTCACAAGGAGTGGACTGAGGCTGGAGTCAGTGCATCAAGAGCCACCACACACAGATGGATCCTGGACATGGACTTCAAATGTCGTATTCCTCTTGTCAAGCCAATCCTGAACAACAAACAACGTCAGAAGCGTCTTACCTGGGCTAAAGAAAAACAGACCTGTTCTGTTGCTCAGTGGTCCAAAGTCCTCTTTTCTGATGAGAGCAACTTTTGCATCTCATTTGGAAGCCAAGGACCCAGAGTATGGAGGAAGAATGGAGAGGCACACACTGCAAGATGCTTGAAGTCCAGTGTGAAGTTTCCACAGTCTGTGTTGATTTGGGGAGCCATGTCATCTGCTGGTGTTGGTCCTCTGTGCTTCATTAAGTCCAGGGTCAACGCAGCCTGTCTACCAGGAGATTTTGGAGCACTTCATGCTTCCTTCCACAGATGAGCTTTATGGGGATGATGACTTCATTTTCCAGCAGGACTTGGCACCTGCCCACACTGCCAAAAGCACCAAAACCTGGTTCAATGACCGTGGGATTACTGTGCTTAATTGGCCAGCAAACTCGCCTGACCTGAATTGCCAAGAGAAATATGAGAGACATGAGACCGAACAATGCAGAAGAGCTGAAGGCCGCTATTGAAGCATCCTGGTCTTCCATAACACCTCAGCAGTGCCACAGGCTGATAGCTTCCATGCCACGCCGCATTGAGGCAGTAATTGCTGCAAAAGGGGCCCAAACCAAGTACTGAGTACATATGCATGCTTATACTTTTCAGAGGTCCGATATTGTTCTATGTGCAATCCTTGTTTTATTGATTGCATGTAATGTTCTAATTTTCTGAGATTGTGGATTTGGGGTTTTCATGAGCTGTAAGCCATAATCATCACAATTATGACAAATCACGGCTTGAACTATCTTGCTTTGCATGTAATGAGTCTATCTCATATATTAGTTTCACCTTTTAAGTTGCATTACTGAAATAAATTAACTTTTGCACGATATTCTAATTTTTTGAGTTTCACCTGTATATATACTGTATAAAATATATATATATATATATATATATATATATATATATATATAAAATCTCCTCTGGATAAGGATGTTTTGAACAGGACGATGATTATATCAACATTTACTACACTTGAAACCTCTGTTACACCCCTACTAGAATGCCATGTGCTGGACTATAGCTGGACTTGACGATAAGGATCGCTATATGTTCACATTTACATCACTGCTCAGTTCATCTAACATGAAGTCCCCTACGAATTGTCTTATGTTGCAATATAATGTGCATGTTTCATTGTGTGTTCTCTCTCTCTCCTATCTGACAACAGTAGTGAAAAACGGTTGCCTAGGCACTGTCTTTATTTTGTTATATCAACTTACTGACTACGCCATTTCACATTCATTTTTCATATATATCATTTCTGACTGTAATCCACCTGCAGTTCCCTTGTATTTGGCATCCAATTAACATATCTGTCCTATCTCCAATCCATGCAAGGAGCTGCTGCCGGTCCCCTCATTTGTCACTGCACTGTACAAATCTCTTCCCTGGCTTGCCACATCTGCCTCCATCATTTAAAAAACCCACACACTTGTATAGTATGTAAATCTCTAAACATGTTTCATATTCCCTACTTTGATCTTTCCATGCATGGTCTTCACAATGAAGGTAGGTTAAAAATTCAATTGAACACAAAACCATAGTCAGGATAGTCACAATGGGCACAACAGTATACATAACTGCCATGAAGCCTGCTGGTATGGGGGTTAATTTATCTCTTTTGTTTCTGAAGGCTATAGCTGTTTGAGGAATGACACCGCTGCAATATATAGCTGAAGGTTTACGGGAGATCTACAGTTATAGGTGATTATATAGTGGCAGATGTCCTTGGAGTTTGATTTACGTAACACAGAATGCTCCAGGGTCAGTTCTGTCCTCTGGAAGGACATGTCCTCAAAGAAGGCAATGGCAAACCCTTAAAACACAACTCCATGCAAATTCAGTTTCTAAGGGTTAAGATGATTGTAATGTATATATCACAAGTGCTACTTCAACAGTTGGATAATTTTGAGTACTGATCTAAAATGTCTGAAAATCTGAATAATAAAGCTGCACAGTTGGCTTCATTTATGCATGCAATATAATCATCCTGGTTTTATTCATTTATTCTTAGTAAACATCTATTAAATATCTGTTGCCCTTACCTCTCCTGAAATGGGGTAACAATGCTAATCACAGTCTCTTAATGCTGTGTAGCATTGATAACCTGCTGTGTGCACTGACATCCAGTGTGCATGCAAGATCCTGTAGTCACAGCCAAGGGCGGACTGACCATTTGGAAACTCGGGCAGTGCCCGAGGACCCGGGGTCAGTAGGGGGCCCCATGAGATGCCCCTGGTACCTTTTTCTTAGGATTTTTGAGTTTGGGCAAGGACACAGGGGCCCCATGATCCCCTATTGCCCGGGGGCCCCATGAGTTGTCAGTCCGCCCCTGATCACAGCATTGCATCTTTCAGCCATGCCTGCCACCCTATCTCGGCTCTCAATCAACAGTTCTCTCTACAGTCCTGCCACATGGCGGGAAGTCAAAAGTAGATGCACACACATGATAAAAATGCTCTGCCCACAGCCGTTACAGATCTAACTTTATAAAAGATAAAAAATGGTCATGTGCATACAACAACAACAACAACAACAACAAAAACAAAAACAGAATAAGGTATTTGGAAGGCTAATTTGCTACTTTCTTTACCCAGGAAGTATTTGGTCACTTGTAAAGGTGAAGGTTTTTTATTTTTTCCAGAGGATTTACATATACTGTAAGAATCTCCCTCTGGATCCCAGTTTGTATTACTGGGAAGACATCTATTGAGAACCTCTACCACATCAGAATAAAGCACAGACTAATGCCTCTGAGAACTAGCTCTGATGAACACTTGACACATTTCTCTCTGATGTCTCTCCTGCAGTTATTTACTGGAGTGGCTTTTTATTTTTTTATGCCACAGGGTTTTCAAAACTATAACTGTGAACTCATTATATTAGAGAAAGTTAAATGTAGCTGCGCCTAAAACATTTACACATAATTATTTCTACCTTTTAAGGATTTTTGCACTATCAGTTGTATTTTTCACACTCATTAATAGCTGCATAAACCATATTCACACACACGTTTCCATAAGACAGTGAGGGTGCACCTTCTATAAGCAGTATATCCTTTCACAAGGCAGCTAACAGGTACACCACAACATTTCTGACTACTGGTGTCACTGCGCACAATCACATGGCTCCTGCCAGATACCCCAGATGCCTGCCAAGACTTCTAGTAAAATACAGGAACTCTGTTTTTTTTATAAGAGCCTGTGTCAACGATCTTTATGAATGAAGAAATTAAGAATACTTTTGACATCAGTTAGATACACTTCTGAGATCAGCTGCTTTTGCGTTGTGTCATAGACTTATATGGGGAGTTCTGAAGCACACAACATGCTGTGAGTTGCATAACTGTGATGTCATTAATATAAAATGAGCATTTAACCTATTAAAGGTAATCTTTATTTCTCATGCTGTCATTGCAATTGGTTGAGGATTTGCCTTATTTCTGGTATCAGGACCGCTAGAAGGAAAGAATGCTTCAAAACTCCCCATATAAGTGTATGACACAACACAAAAGCAGCTGACTTATATGGGGAGTTCTAAAGCACACAAAAGCTCTCAACATAGGTCCTAAATGGCATCCAGAGTGTCCTCTCTCCCCTTCTTTGCTTCTAGGGGTCCTGATACCGGAAATAGGGCAAATCCTCAACCAATTGCAATGACATCATGAGAAATAAAGATTACCTTTAATAGGTTAAATGATCATTTGATATTAATGACATCACAATTATGCAACTCACAGAATGTTGTGAAAAATATTGTATTCCATCACACTTACCTTGCCAATGACATCGTTACGACTAAGCTTGTCTTTGTCCATGACAGTTATGATTATGGTGGTCTCTCTGAGTTTTTCGGTGGGAATATCAAAGATGAAGGACTCATTAAAGATGGGATTTAGACACCTCTTCATAACCACTGTCTTTTTCTTCTCAACTCTCTTGTCCTTGTACATAAGCCAAACTTTCACATAAGGATCTAAAGAAGTGAATGCAAGTATTAATCAGTTATTATTCAGTGTTTTTGTGTTACAATTTGAATACATACTTCTCACTCTTCCAGCATATAAATCTCCACTAAATCTATTTATGAGCTAAATCCTGTAAAGTGAACCTGACACTTAGGATAAGCAGTGCATTTACAGTTTACAGATATATCATATGTTTCTGAAGACATTTTCTGATGTGATGTTAAAATATCAGTGCTAGTAGGTTTAGTAACAGGACCAGATGCTCTAGCCCAAATTATGGAAAACAACCATAAGTCATTTTTCTTCCTCTACCAATATTCAAAGGCATCATTATGCATCCAGACACAAAGCTTACTTCTGGCATCTGCTGACTCCACACAATCATATTTTGAGATGAGGCAACAGGATTCATCAATCAAGAAAACATGGAGTTGAAAGGCAAACAGGCTGTTCACTTTGCAGTGGAATTTTCCTTTAGCCTAGTGTAACTGTGGTGAAAATCCTCTTTGCAAAGAATACCCAATCAAGTGCAAGGAAAATTTAATAAAAAGGATTTTTGCTTTGACATGACTGCAAGATGAAAGTCAGCAGAGTTTCACCTCATTCACTAAACTAAGAGTAAATTCTTAATAAAGTGAACAGCCTATTTGCCGTTAGTAAATTAATGCCCATCTGTCCACAGTGCCAGAGGCGGCAAGCTTCAAAGCACTTTGGCTGACACCTGGCATTACGCACGATGATCTTATGTTTGTGAGCAACTGCTTTTCCCTGGAAACTCCTGTTCCTAAGTCTTCACATATTCACATGTAATATTTTCTTACAAAGACAGTCTGAGACTTAATAGCATATATTCTAGCAGAGGACACAGGATTTACACATGCCACATAATTTGGTCTACCATTTTGTGACTGAATTGTTCCTGCTAGACGTTTTTAGTTTAAAAGCACTTGTTCACAAGAGCAGCTTTAGGACAGAAATGTGACAAAAATGTGTCATCCTATCATGATTGCACCGTGAAAGTCAGTGACCTCTTCAGCATGATCCGTTCTAATGCGTTGCTAAAATTTCCATGCATAGTTGCTAAATTTTACAACTGTATTAGCAATATAGCAATAGGTCTGTTAAATAGCCAAATACACTAATTAGTAGACATGTATGGATATATCTGCCCATAGGGTATAGGTATAATACTTGTGCTAAATATATACTCCTTGTCCCTTCAAGTTTTCTGTTTTTGGTTCCTGCCAATCCTACCCCAGTTGACTGCCTAACCTTAGTATCATATTAACAGAATCACATATAGCCAAAGAAGACACACCGAGGCTGCAGTCAAAAAGGCTGAAAAAGACAGTTTTCCCACAAGGCATTGCTACACACAAAACTAACAATCCTAAAAATAGGGCAAACAGTTACCCTACACTCTTCTACCAGCAAATGAACACAAACAGTGCAGGACAGCAAGCACATAGACTGTGCAAACAGGCAGGACACTAGTCTTCAACCTTTTATTATACACAGAAATGAGTTACTGCCAGACAGCAACAAGATGTGGGGTTAGTTGTGTGGCAGACTAGGTAGCCTCGCTGCCTTTGGCCATGGTTGGCTAATCAAAAATCCAACCTTCTGTGACATTAGTGTGTATCTTGGCCTGAGGATCATACATGTTCTGTCTGGAGAGCTGAGAGCTGAAAGCCACAGAACAAATGAGGAAGAGGACCCTGCGCATCAAATGATCAGACTGAAGAAATATTAAGAAGCCCGTTACTCCCGAGCCCCCCCCCCTTTCAAGGCATATCATGATGACCTGGTGGCTACCACATTTATGGCGAGACAGGCTCCCCCTGCTGGTGAGAAGATTGCCTTTCCCTGGTACCTGGAGACCCTGAGGGTGCGATACTTGCCTAGCTGACGCTGGCCAGACGATCCCCGCTGAGATCCAGTTCCCATATGTGGATGACCAGGAGTTGGTTATTAATTACTCAAACGCGCAATAAATTGCGCTTTCCGGTTAGTGCAATCTACACTCATCTCCCTATAAGGAACATGGTCACAGAAGTCACCAATTTTTTCTCTATTTTGCCTTGAAAGTTCACTGTGCACTCCATAACACGAACTTTGAACGTATTTACAGGTGAAACTCGAAAAATTAGAATATCGTGCAAAAGTTCATTTATTTCAGTAATGCAACTTAAAAGGTGAAACTAATATATGAAATAGACTCTATATGCAAAGCAAGATAGTTCAAGCTGTGGTTTGTCATAATTCTGATGATTATGACTTACAGCTCATGAAAAATCCACAATCCACAATCTCAGAAAATTAGAATCAATCAATAAAACAAGGATTGTACATAGAACAATATCAGACCTCTGAAAAAAATAAGTATGCATATGTACTCAGTACTTGGTTTGGGCCCCTTTTGCAGCAATTACTGCCTTAATGCGGTGTGGCATGGAAGCTATCAGCCTGTGGCACTGCTGAGGTGTTATGGAAGACCAGGATGCTTCAATAGCGGCCTTCAGCTCTTCTGCATTGTTCGGTCTCATGTTTCTCATCTTTCTCTTGGCAATGCCCCATAGATTCTCTACGGGGTTCAGGTCAGGCGAGTTTGCTGGCCAATCAAGCACAGTAATCCCACGGTCATTGAACCAGGTTTTGGTGCTTTTGGCAGTGTGGGCAGGTGCCAAGTCCTGCTGGAAAATGAAGTCAGCATCCCCATAAAGCTTGTCTGCGGAAGGAAGCATAAAGTGCTCCAAAATCTCCTGGTAGACGGCTGCATTGACCCTGGACTTAATAAAGCACAGTGGACCAACACCAGCAGATGACATGGCTCCCCAAATCAACACAGACTGTGGAAACTTCACACTGGACTTCAAGCATCTTGCAGTGTGTGCCTCTCCATTCTTCCTCCATACTCTGGGTCCTTGGTTTCCAAATGAGATACAAAAGTTGCTCTCATCAGAAAAGAGGACTTTGGACCACTGAGCAACAGACCAGGTCTGTTTTTCTTTAGCCCAGGTAAGACGCTTCTGACGTTGTTTGTTGTTCAGAAGCGGCTTGACAAGAGGAATACGACATTTGAAGCCCATGCCCAGGATCCGTCTATGTGTGGTGGCTCTTGATGCACTGGCTCCAGCCTCAGTCCACTCCTTGTGAAAGTCCCCAACACTTTTGAATGGCCTTTTCTTGACAATCCTCCCCAGGCTGCAGTTATCCCTGCTGCTTGTGCACCTTTTTCTTTCCACGCTTTTCCCTTCCACATAACTTTCTATTAATGTGCTTTGATACAGCGCTTTGGGAACATCCAACTTCTTTTGCAATTACCTTTTGAGGCTTTCCCTCCTTATGGAGGGTGTCAATGATGGTTTTCTGCAGAACTGTTAGGTCAGCAGTCTTTCCCATGATTGTGATTCCTAGCGAACCAGACTGAGAGACCATATAAAGCAGCGGTTCTCAACCTGGGGGTCGCGACCCCTTTGGGGGTCGAACGACCATTTCCCAGGGGTCGCCTAAGACCATCGGAAAACACATATTTCCGATGGTCTTAGGAACCGAGACACCGCTCCTCTGTCTCAGGCGATGTGTGGGCGGGATGATATGCTGCCCCCGTCACCTCCTCCTTGCCGCTGATCCTCCTCCAGGCCACCGGAACTGTAGCTCAGGAGAGGCACACAGGCGGCCAATCACCGGCGAGGAGGTGGAGCTTGGAGAGGAGGAGTCGAGCGGCAGCGCGCGTAGATCAAAGAAGATCGAGGGAGCTGCAGGAGCGAGTGAAGAGAGAGGCCAGAGAAGGAAGACAGCTGACAGGTAAGTGCAAATTTTGCTGCTGCAGCCAGGTATGCAGGCTGTAGATGGGAGAGGGAGAGAGCGAGCCCAGGCTGGAGCAGGGGTATGCAAGGTAAGTATCATTGGTGTCAGTGGGAGGGATAGTGCCCCATCATTTGTGTCACTAATACCAACGGTGGGGCACTATTCCTCCCCCCACTGACACCAACGATGAGACACTATTCCTCCCCTCACTGCCACCAACGATGAGACACTATTCCTCCCCCACTGACACCAACGATGGGGCACTATTCCTCCCCTCACTGACACCAACGATGGGGCACTATTCCTCCCCTCACTGACACCAACGATGAGGCACTATTCCTCCCCCCACTGACACCAACGATGGGGCACTATTCCTCCCCTCACTGACACCAACGATGGGGCACTATTCCTCCCCTCACTGACACCAACGATGGGGCACTATTCCTCCCCTCACTGACACCAACGATGGGGCACTATTCCTCCCCCACTGACACCAACGATGGGGCACTATTCCTCCCCCCACTGACACCAACGATGGGGCACTATTCCTCCCCCACCTGACACCAACGATGGGGCACTATTCCTCCCCCCACTGACACCAACGATGGGGCACTATTCCACCCCCCACTGACACCAACGATGGGGCACTATTCCTCCCCCCACTGACACCAACGATGGGGCACTATTCCTCCCCCCACTGACACCAACGATGGGGCACTATTCCTCCCCCCACTGACACCAACGATGGGGCACTATTCCTCCCCCCACTGACACCAACGATGGGGCACTATTCCTCCCCCCACTGACACCAACGATGGGGCACTATTCCTCCCCCCACTGACACCAACGATGGGGCACTATTCCTCCCCCCACTGACACCAACGATGGGGCACTATTCCTCCCCCCACTGACACCAACGATGGGGCACTATTCCTCCCCCCACTGACACCACGACGATGGGGCACTATTCCTCCCCCACTGACACCAACGATGGGGCACTATTCCTCCACCCACTGACACCAACGATGGGGCACTATTCCTCCACCCACTGACACCAACGATGGGGCACTATTCCTCCCCCCACTGACACCAACGATGGGGCACTATTCCTCCCCCCACTGACACCAACGATGGGGCACTATTCCTCCCCCCACTGACACCAACGATGGGGCACTATTCCTCCCCCCACTGACATCAA